ATTAGATGCAAATATTTGTGATTAAATATGAGAAGAACATATTTGTACATTATTAGTTCTATCTTTCTACTTCGATTTCTGTATTAAATGAATATATCTGTTGATGAAATTGAAATAAAATAAAATAAATATAAAATGAAAATGATAAAAGAAAGAATAAAGAAAATAATAAGAAAGTAAATATAATGATTAATGATAAAATTGATGAGTTATTATCATGAATGAAAGTTGAAGATGAACATTAAATTCATTATTATTAATTATAAATGTTTAATTTATAATACATATTAAATAGTCACTCTTCATTCTGTACTAGTTTGTTGATGTTTACTTTATTCAAATTGTTATTATCATATCATCATTTCATTGACATTTGTTATTTATTATCTTTTTATTTGTTTCATCATTTAACTCTTGTTTGATATGATAATATAAATAATTTACATTGTACTTTATCATCATTCATCATTGATAATCATCTGTGATATAATGTAATGTTCATATCAATAAATATATCATTTAAATAAATAAATAATAACATCTGTTAACATATCATTATGATATCTCATCAGTGTGATAAATGAAATGTAACATATTTACACATTAATAACAATACGATGGATATTCATATTTATGTAATCATTGTTATTCATAACTAACATTATAAATTTGAATTAACATAATGTTCTTCTTTATTATTTTTCATAATGATATTTTCACATTAAAATTATTTTGTTGGTAATTGAAATGAAAGATGTAAAGAATAATATAAAATGAACAGAATTATGAATGAATATACTCAACAAATCAAGATACATCATACTCAATACAACAAGAAGTTATAAAGTGTCAACTGATTGTTATAGAATTTGTATTTTACCTACTTTTTATTTTATATTTTATTTTTTTTAAGAGAAAATAAAACAAAACAGAATATTCTAATATGCAAAAAAATATATTACACTATTTTCAATTGATCATTTTATTTAGACGCATAATTTCTTTGCTTATTTTGGTTCCCGTAATATTATTACCTATTTTTATTATACATAAAATTCCTAGCTATAATATTTTAACTTTTCATGAATCTATCATTAAATTAATAATATTAATTATATTAACTAGAACTTTATAATACTTAAACTATTGATATCCAATATGATTTATAGTATTATACTTTCACTAATCATAACAATATTATTTAATTATTTCATACCTTATTTAAATTTTTTCTCATTAATATATGTTTTAATGCAAAATATTTATTTACAACCAATTATTTTTTTTTATGGTTGTGTATTTTATTTTTTTTAAATTTTCTTTTACCTCAACTCTACTTGTTTTTGTAAGTATACCACTGGGAGGTACGGATATTGTAATATATCTTAATATGTCTGGTTTTATATTTCTTCATTTTTATGATTAATCCTTTATATATCTTTTTATTCTCTTTTCTACAAGACCTTCATGACACAATGATATTTCTATTATAATTAATTCTTTATTATAACAATAAACAATATCTGGTTTTGTATTCTTTTCATTGATCTGTTCCCTTATAATTTTAGCAATTTGTTTATTTCTAAAAACTATTTTTAACTACTTGTTCTATTTATTATTATAATCTTATTCATTATCTAATTTAATCTCTATCTTCTTTTTATATATTGTTCTATCAACTATATCATTTATTTCTATTATTTCTTTTCTAACTTTATATATTGACAAGGCAAAAATGACTTTGTGTTATAAATTGATTACATTATATCCATCTCATTTTATTATTATCATTTTTATATATCTGATAATTTTTATATGTAATAAATCCTTTTTCTTGTATCATTGTATATTATTTATATATTTTATTACTTATTACAATTTCTTTCAATATTTTGATTTTTCTTTTTCTTCCATTTTCTTCATTTTCTATAAATTTATTGAAACTCTTTGTTTGTGATTATTTATTCTTCTTCTATTCTATAATATATTATTTTTATATCACTTCTTCTTTTTATTTAATTCTATATCATCTATTTCTTTTTTATTTATTATTTCTTTCTCTTTTAAATATTTACAATTAACTCTTATTTTATTATATAAACCTTTTGATTCCTATTTCATTTTGTTATTTTCTACTCTTTCTCTTAATATATCCTCTTCATTTCCTTTTTTGTATTCTATATATTTTAAATTAATCTTTTAAGATTATATCCTTCACTACTATAAAATTATTTTATAATCTCTTCTTTTTATTTTATTATATAATAATCTCATTTCTCTTAATTCTTTCATTTTTTTCTCTTATCTCTATTATTATCTTTCTTCTTTCTTTGTTTCCTTTTCTTTATTCATCTTTTGTGATGTTCTCTCATTTCTTTTTTATAACTCTCTATTTGAATATTGTGGTACTCATGAACCTTATAATTTTGACTAATTTGTGGTATCCTGCTCACCAAATTTATAATATAATATTAAAACTATATTATTAAAGAGAATACTTTCAATGCAGTTAAATATTAATTAATGAGAAAAGAATTAATTGAACATCCAGTCATTACGAAATACTCACAATATTTATTTATATTATTTGAAATATTTTAATCAAATGATTTGTTTTAAATGAATACTACAACTGAAACAAAGCATATTCAATATACTTAAACAAATACTTCTTATTGTTTATAAACTCGATTTGTTGAATGTCACTGATTAATTAACTCTTTTAATATTATTTTTTTACATACTAAAATTTTTTC